ACAAGGCCGAAACTCCCTGGAGGAACGTCAAGGAGCCGAGTATCGGCGGAATCCTCCGCAAGGAACTGCACACCTCCGCAATCTTCCATCGGTGATGCCTTCAATCACATTGACGGACTTATCTTTTTATTAAGTCTTACAATCGACACCTGAGTCCGTTCGTGCGAATAATCAAGACAAGTCTTTTTACTCCGTTTGTGTTAATTCATAATGCAAGTTTATTAGTGAATGATGTAACAGTACTGTTTTGGCATCATGACATTTACACATTTTATTTTGGGGATTTATTTAAAAAAAAAGAATAAATTAAATTCTTATGTAGAAACTTCCTCGTCAATTAAATTGTCTTCACTCTCATAAGTTATCTTGTTTCCATAAGTTTGAATAACAATATCAACTTTAACAATCAAGTGCGCATACACGAATTAATTCTCTTTCTCTTCCTCTTTGGTTGATTCATTTGTATTCTTCGTTAGAATTTGAATAATCATACTATTCAATATTCTATCAATTAATAACATTACCGGGTTGCACTATTATAGAATAATATTTAAAATAACGTAATGATATGCACTATTATATAATAATATTTTACTTTTTTTCTTTATTTTTAACGGTATCAACATTTATTTTCTTATATTCCTACAAATTTCACTTTGGAGCCAAATTGATTTGTCGAACTGGTTATCGACGGAGTCGCAAGGTTGAAATAATTTTTTAAATTATATTGTAAATATAATATATTATAATAAATATATATAACTTATGATAAAATCTCTCTCTGTAACGTAAATATAATGTTATTCAAATCTAAAGAATAGAACAATACCTTGTGAAGTATAATTATATAGTAACTTTTTTATATTTTTTTAAATATGATAGAGAACTATGTTGATTAATTCATATTGTTCAATAAATATCTTCATATTTTAAAAAAATTTAATCTACGTAATATTACATTTTACAGCACGTTATCGACTGTCGTTAATACGTTCCCTGACTTGATCCGGTTTCGTCGAATTCTAAAATCGAAAAGCATTCGAGATCCATACCGTAAACATGTCCGGATTCGCAACTTTGCAGATTGCATTTTCATATCGATCACAAGAACGACGAAAGATTCATCTTACACGTCGAACCATCTGCGCGTTATTCGCTCCCACGATTTTATAACGCAAGCTAGATGCTTAACTGAAGGAGAGAATCGATTGGCATATGCAGGTCCAATTAGGGATGCAGCCGAGAATTACGAAAGTATCTTACACCATCGTTGAATTACTTTCTTGAGAGACGATCGCGAGTTTCATAACGAGAGGTCCCAATTACTTTCACGAATAATTCCGCGCTATGCTTAGAGACGCTGTGCTTAGTAGACTATCGAATAAAACGTTTAACCAGATGGATCGCGCAAATCTCCGTCATAGCAATACGACTTCCTTATTTTTTCCGAGGACAGTTCAGGCATCGAGGCTGATGCGAAACAAATGGAATTTCGTGATACATAATAGTATCAATACTTTCACTATGTAGATTTATCGTAAAATACATCAAATTTCTTTAAGCGAAAATACTAATGAGAATCTTACAATTTCAATGTCGTAAATTAAAACTATAGTAAGTTGGGAAATTTGGGAGGATTATTAATATTTTCAGATTTGATTGCGTTGAAAGTCCGACAACCATATCGGCACACAATTATAATTTCTGAAATTAATTCATTTAAATGAATTTACAATAGTTCAACATCTTAACGTTCTCACCGTTATGGCGCTTCTTAATTTAAAGCATTGTAATTAACATTAGCGGTCTTTCAATCTTATTAAAACTATAGTATTTAGTAAAATAAAAAATATGTAGTAATTATTGAGAGCAACTTTAATTTGATCATTATATTAATTTATTTTGTATATCATATGTACCTACATCAAAAGCATTCAAAATAATTTTTTTTATTAAAAGCACAAATTATAACAAGTGATATTGAGACTGAGCCCAATTATATGATCGCCAAGCTCAACATTAGAATATATATTACATTTTTTAAAAATAAATCCAATAATTATCATCGAGAAATACAAAGAATGAAAAAATGTCTAGTATCGAAGTAATTCTCAAAATTACTTGAAGGTGCTGCATTCCTTGGAAATTAAATGGAAACTAGTATCGAACGATTAGCCGATGGTAAGAGCAATCCACGAATATTATGCCTCTGTATTATCGACGCCAGGATTAATGAATTTCATAACGTATCTTTATGGTATGTCGAATTAGCGAGATAAATTCGCGACGCTTACACCGAGACGCTTTTCAGCGGATTGATTTCTTTTCCTCAATGATCCAAGAATACGTATCGCGGAGCACCCTTTTTACTTACGGGCATTAACTAATTGAAATGGAGGAGCGGCCAGGAAAGAGAGAAGACGGGTGGTCGAAAAGATTTACACGAAGAGTAAAAGCACGAGCAAAAACGAGTGGGTAACAAAAAAGCCGGCGGCTCTGGAAGGAGAGACCAGGGCGCCAGAAATGTTCTCGGGCAGTCGTTGTCGGTTTCATTGTTATCGACCTGTTGGGATCTCTGGCGTCATTGCTAACGTGATCACGTCGTGGCTATCACCTTCCTACCGGGCAGCACCTTCCTATATCCACGTCGTGACGTAATTTCGTGCTTCGCCGCGAAAGGTCATAGCAACATCCGTATATACATATTCTGGACCGAATGTTTGCTTTTAAGAAAAATTACGAAAAAAGTTTTCCCCCCAAAAAAATTAAATATTATTTCTTTAATTCTATAAAATATAATTAGGTCGTTGAATTACATTTGTATTTAATTGCATCAATACTTGATCATATAGAAATTTAACGGAATAAATAAATTTAGGCAATGAAACGAATTTTGAATTAAAAGCTTTGTCATTTTCAATTCTTATTCTTTTCATTACGATTTATTTCAGAAATATTTCTAATCGTTTTGCAGCAATCACTTTTATGTATATAACGTATGTATTTTTTTCTGAAATTTTATTTTTCCTTCGTTTATTACATTTACTTACAAGGGAACCTCTCGAGGTGATAAATTCTGATTTTAATGAAACTTTGTGAACTTGTAGTTTACATAAAGAGATGAATTTAAAAAATATCAGTTGCTGCCCAAAAACGGTTTGAAGGGGTGAAATCACCC